TCAGTAAGAGAAAGAAGTGAAGTGCTGATACCAGCTACAATAGGAATAAACCTTGAAAACATGCTCAAAGAAGCTAGGCACAGAGATCATACTTACATAAAATGTCCAGAACAGGCAAAGCTATAGACACCGAAAGTAAATTAGTGGTTGCCGGTGGCTGGCGGAAGGAGGAAGAAAGATGGGAAGTGGTGGTACCAGCTGATGGGTATGTGGTTTCATTTTGGGGTGATGAAAATGTTCTCAAATTAGATCGTGGTGATGGTTATAGAACCCAGTGAATATACTAAAATCCATTGAACAGTATACTGTAGATGAGTGAAGTGTATGGTATGTAAAATATATCTCAATCAAGGGTTCTTTTCTAAAGAATACTAACAAAGAATAATGGGCCAATTTCTTTTAAAGAATGAAGCTTCCAGTTCTACCCAGACTTGCATTTTGGTTATCATGAAGATTTAAAAACAAAATCATTCAATTGGTGGAAAGAACTAAATGTGCAATAGATTTCAGCCTGTTTGGTCCTGTGCTGGAACCCGGGGTGGGAGGGAGTGTGGGGGAATATATAATAAAAATAAGAATTAATGCTAAGGGCTGATAAGGTCTGTGACACAGAAATATTAACTGTACACAAAACCCCATAGAAATCTGCTCTCTACAAAACCTGAAGATATGGTTGATGGGTGTTTCTGAACACATCCCTGCTTTTTGCCTCGCTCTTTTGTGGATCTTTTTGTTTGCTGGCATCTTCTCAGGCTCACTTTGGAATAAGTTGCCTGTTGATCCTTTTTAGTTCTTCCAAGAAAGCAGATGTGGCTTTAATAAGGCGTTAATTCTGGCTGAAATGTCGTGGCATTGGGTCTCAACCAGCCTGGGCCTTGATACTGGAGAAACTGTCCTTTCCCCTCCGGTTCTACCAGCAAAGGATAACATAACTCATCTAAGAGAATCCTTTAAAAATGGCTATTTGTGCCTCCCGGTAGCTGAATTTAACCTAACATAGAGTATAGCCAGTCAATGTTTTGGCTGATATTTTCTAAAATAGATGTCACTAAATAATCAGTGAATAATTAAGACGGGTTAATTAGATTGCATTTCTGAACATATTTCTTTGGTTGCTATAAATAGACTTCTCCCCCTGTGTGCCATTTCCTGTGTCTCTGTATACTTGCAAATTTTGTTTATAATGACGCTAGGCATTACTTCCAACTTGAGTTTTTCCAAATTCTTTTCAAAGTAGTAATTATGTCTGAAAACATCCCTTGAGTCAGGCAAAGACAATTATTGCTTTAAAAAAAAAATCCCTCTGTCTTTACAAAAATAGTGAGGAGAGTCTAGGAGCAGAGATGGAATACCCAAAGGCATGGAGATAGAGAGAGCTGGAGCAAGGGTGGAGCAGATGGGGGAGGGGATCCAGGCAGAGCGCTGCTCTCCGCCCCACACTCCCTGGGAGGTCCTGCCCACCTCTTCCTGCCTTTGCTCTATGCAGGAACTCCTGGCTTCACCAGGCTTGCCTCCCCCTGGAGTCGGTTCCCTTCCCCAAAGTGGAACCATAGGACCAAGACACCAGTTTTATCAGTGATGTTCCCCCAGGGAAGAAAGCAGGCAAACACACAGCAACTGATCCAATTCTGCCAACTAACTCAAGACTTGGACGCTTTACCCCAAACGTAAGCAAAGAAGTTCACAAAAGAAGGGGTGATGCAGGATGGATCTTGACTATGTCTTCCCAGCATCTCATGGTCCTGCTCTCCATTTCAATATCCAGCGGGTCACCACTTATTACTCCTGAGACTTGGGGATTAAATGTCTAAGGGATAAACCACCTAGCAAACTAGTTTTCTATCATTTTCCAAGAAAGAATAAAGAAAGTGATTAAATGGAGCTGGGAGTAGTAAGACAAATCCACGTCATTTGTTGGCTTGTTGAGCCCTGGGGTCATGTCCCAACATCTGCACAATATCCATGTGGCCCGGACAGGTCATTCTGATTTCCTCCTCTGTAATATGAGGGTACAAAGACACACAAACACACAGAGACACACACATTTATATCTAACTGCTCTGAACATCATAAATCCCTTTAAAGACACAGGGCATCATGGTTGATGGTAGTGGTGTTTGCATGCACATCCTCAGATGCCATCATGGAATCTGCCCTGTGAAAGTCTGAATTAGTGACTGAAAGTCTAGGATAGAATCAGATATGATTGAAAAGATGGGGCCAGTGAAACCAGGTAGCATCCTCCACCAGCACTAGGGCATGACCTGTCCCTGCCATCTGTGCCTCCCCAGGCTCAAAGTCATCCGCTGGCATGACCAGGCTCAAGCTGCAGGCTCCTAGAGCCAGTCCCCACAGTGGATGGCCCTGTCCCTGTGTGTACCAAAGACTTCAGGGCAGTGTGATTAGGCCCTGCTGTTCTCAGGAATTATTATGTTTATATTCAGGCATGTTTTTAAAAAGTTTATTAGGGCACCCTTAGACTTCAAAGAGAAGGCAATGGCAACCCACTCCAATACTCTTGCCTGGACAATCCCATGGACGGAAGAGCCTCCTAGGTTGCAGTCCATGGGGTCGCGAAGAATCAGACACGACTGAGCGACTTGACTTTCCCTTTTCACTTTCATGCATTGGAGAAGGAAATGGCAGCCCACTCCAGTGTTCTTGCCTGGAGAATCCCAGGGACGGGGGAGCCTGGTGGGCTGCCGTCTATGGGGTCGCACAGAGTCGGACACGACTGAAGTGACTTAGCAGCAGCAGAAGACTTCAAAGATTCCCAGACTATAAGCTAAATATATATTTAACTATAAAGAAATGTTTCAATCACATTATTTAACAATAGTGTAAAACAGAACCTTTAAACTGGTCCCTATCCTTTCCATAATTACATGCTCTGGATAAGAGCCTGGTTCACGGCCAATATCCCCATGGAGATATATGAGCTTGGGGACATAGACAGCAGCTAACTATGATATCGCTTGCCTTTGTTTCTTCTTGAAAATACCAAAGCAGTTAGCTAATGGTAATAGAGCAGTCACTTTCCATATACTACTTTTTAAAATTAATTTAGCTTCTTTCTTTTTTTTTCTTTCTTCCTTCCTTTGTTCCTTCCTTCTTTCTTTTACTTGAAAGTGAAACTATCTCTGCTGATGTCTTTGTAGAAAGACAGGATTCCTTCGTAACCACACTACCACCACCTTTTATTTTGGGGTGTGTGAAAATAAAGGAATGATACACAGGAATAAAATCATGCGGTTTTTCCCTGGAGCCTTGACCCACGGGAAAATGATAAAAATCATCCAAAAAGATTGTCAGTGAAAGTGGTCTTCACATATTCATTAAATGAATGAGTGCATGGATCCATAGAAGAAGGGATTCCAAAAAGGTGATTCAGAGAAATACAGATCTGGAAATGATCTCGAGAGTTTTATACTATCAGTGATGGATAGTGTCCTAGAATTACTTGATCATGGGAAACACTCCCCCATAATTAAGATCAGGTACATGCCACACCCTGCATTATCCACTTTAAATATATACCCTGACTTAATCCTCACAACAGCCCTGTGAGGTTGGTATGCTTTCCATCTTACAGATAAAGAACTACTAGGGTTGGCCAAAAAGTTCGTTCAGATACTTTCCATAACACGTTATGAGAAAACCTGAGTGAACTTTTTGGCCAACACAATAAACCAGAGAAGTTAATGTGTCTGAGGTCACACAGTAAGTGGTAGGGCCGAATTCAAACTCAATTATTTCTCGCATCAGGACACTCCAGGAGGTAGTGAGCTATGAGTTCTGTGGGTTATGTTCTACTACTTTTCAGATGATAGTAAAGGTTCCAGTTGAAGAGACAAGATAATCAATCAATATAAAGGATGTGCAGAAGGCAAATATGCCTCAGTGACTACCACACACTCAAAATGATGTTAAGACTGAACATGCTATTTTCTTTACTGTACAGGTTGTGTTATGAGCTAATCTTCCCTCCCCTTCTCACTTTGAAATCTTGTCTTTTGGTCAGTAAGCTATTGAACTAGATGCACATGCCCTTCTGAAAGATGGTTTAAAATAATCGAAATAATAATCAATAATAATGATCACAAAAAATCAAAGCTAACTTGATTGACATCTCAAAGAGCTTTATCTTGTTGAACTGGATGCCCTTCCTTGAGATAAGGTCGCCACAAGATTTATTTAATACATGATAAAGTCACAAGAGCATTTATAGAAAATGACCCATCATGGGGAAGAGGAGATGGGCCACCTTTATCCCCTTTATCTCCTCTCTTCTAAAATCTCAGATGTGGATATTACATCTAGCAGATAAGTTTTCTTGCTGCCCTTCTCTCCCTAACCTAAACTTGGGAGATTTCCAAAGTAAATGCCTGGATTTTTACAAATTGTCGACAGATATAGCAGTTTTTCCAGTGTTGATTTGGGTGAGGGGGAGGGACCAAAAACTGCCCTTTTGGCTTTGCCATGCAGGAACGGTTCTGGAAGTTTTAAAGAGTTAAGAGTCCGGATGGGATGCCTTGGGAATGTTGGCAGGAGGCTGAAAGTCCATCCCCTTTGCTTCTCACCCTGGAAGGCATCCCGGAACCATGAGCACACAGTGACGACTCCGGGTCCACGTTCTTTCTAAAATTCTGTTCTGATCTGCCCCGAAAGTCAGCTGAGTGTCCTCCGAGGTCCACCGAGTGCTATTATCTGCAGGGGAGGCTTATTTTTACCTTGTCCTGGGAGAGTTTCTGGAGGCAGGGAGAAAATTTAGGAGCTATTAGCTCATCCTTGTGTGGAAACAGTCTCTGAAGACTAGTGAGGGTGCTGGGGAGGGAGAGTAGGGGGTAGGACAGAGGCCCCAGTGGAGGCAGAGTTATTTGGGTTGCATTTTTCCTGGTCTGATGACATCTCAGTGACATTTGAACTTGGCGTCAGGAAAAGAACACAGCCCTGCATATGGGGCCTGGGACCAGAAGGGCAGAGGCGGGGTATTGGCTGGCATGGCTGCGGGGCTGCTGGGCTCTGAGGACCTGCTGAGTGCCTGGAACCGGCTGGTGTGGGGCCTGACTTGCCGGGCTTTGAGGACGTGCCGAGGCGGGAACGTGCGGGTCCTGCAACTGATGCTGAAACCATGGTGCATCTCCAGGGCTGTCTACCAGGTGGGACCAGAAGCTCCTCTTCTGTTTCTTTGTAGCATGAGAAATTCATGGGGAATGGTGGGAAAGGGGTGTCAGCTCTTGTCCTTTCTGTATCATGTGTAATAAGGGGAGGAGTCCACCTTCGTCTGGCATCATCTTCTAGGTACCAGGCAATGGGAGAGGTGCACTGTAATCAGGATCTAATTCAGTTTTCTGGACAACCTGATAAAAATGGGTGTTTGTGGCACCTTTTGGAGATAAGGTTATTAAAACTCAGGGAGGGATATAAGGTGTTCGGTGTTACCCAGCTGATAAATGACAGAGCCCTGGGATTTGCACCCAAGTTTTTCTGGCTACAAAGATGAGGATGCCCTCCCCACAAGTTCATGCTCCCCTCACAAGAGATGCTATTTTCTCAAAGAGTGTGTGTGTGTATAGGGGTGGTGGGAACCTGATAAGGGGTGTTGGCTGGCAGGACAGGAAGTGAGGAGGGAAGAGCACTGAGCAGCAATATCAAGTCCCCATCCTCCCCATCTTCACCTCCCTCCCATGTGGTAGCTTCCGTTCTCAGACATTCCCACACAAATGTGAGAAATAGGGAAACTTTTCTGCAGCTGGGTGGCCCTTCTGAGCCCACTGGCTGGGGACACAGGGCTCTTAAAGAGGGAGAGGGTCTGCTTTCCCACCCATCCATCCAGACTGGTGGCATGAAGCCAGGTCCCTGCCGACCATGGGGGTTTCAGTCCTGATAGCCCAGCCCAGCCTGAGAAGAAGGATCCAGACTGACTGAGAGGGTTGGGGGAGATGAAGGCAAAAGAGTAAAGGGCCAGCTCTGCCCCTGCCTGCTTCTTGGAGGCAGGTGTCACTAGCTTGGCCTCAGTTAATGTTTTCTTGCAGTGCTGTTTCTTTCACTAAGTTAGCTTGAGAGGTGTTGGCCCCCTCTCTGCTTCCCACACTGCCTGGAAACAAGCAGGCACAGCTGGCCTTTGTATTCTTAAGCATAATTTGGCTGCATATAATCTCTTAATGAACCATAGTGGCTAAACACAGGGCCCTGTAGCCACCCTTCCCCCCAGCCCTCCTGGTGGACTGTCCATACTTGCACTGAATGGACAGCTCCTTGGAAGATAAGCACAGGCGCCCTGGGTTGGCTTCACAGAGGGACACAGCCTTCCCAGAACCCCTTCCTCCTACTTCTTCATCTGCCTGTTGGCAGATGGGATGATGACCATTCAAGTCGTTTCTAAAAATGAGGATTTTTTCCCCAGAATTCGTGTGTTTGAAAGGCATATGCCTATAGTTTTGCTGTAAACAACAAATAAGGATATGTCTGTAATAGATCATATATAAAAGAAACTTGAAAGAAGTCTTCCCAAATTTGACAAGAATCTGAAAAGTCTTTAGAATGTTTCCCATGACAAACTGTGATTCTGAAAGACATCTGGGGTGGGGAGGGGAAATCACCCAGATGGGAGGTACAAACAATAACTAACATGGCTGGTTTGTCCATTTGAGGCTCTTTTTAAAACCTTGGTTTCAGAGTCAAATCTCAACAGCTTGGTTTTGAGGCTAATTGCTTAAACCAGATGAGTCTGTCTTATTTGTTGCTAATTACAACTGAATTTGGGAGTCCTGGCTTCTTACCTCTGTTTCCCACTTTCTGCTTTATTATAATTTTTATTATTTCTTGGCTGCACTGTGGACAGGTGGGATCTTTGTTCCCCAGCCAATCAAAACCATGCCCCCTGCAGTGGAAGCATGCCAACTGCTGTGTCTCCAGGGATGTCCCTCTCCCACGTTTTTTTCTCCTATTTTCCTCGCTTATGTTTCATCAAGTTATATAAAAATCAGGATTCTAAATCGAGTGAGCAGGGTGCACTAGCCCCATGTCAGTGGGCCTTTTTAAGACTTTCCTTCATGTTATAAGTGTACTGGAGAGAACATGGAATTATTGGCCACCAGACCTGGAAGACACCTTCCTCCTGCTTCAACTTCAACTCAATTCATCAGACACTTACTGAATAGGAGTTTTACACCTGGCCCTTGGGAGGCAATTGGGACTCAAAAGCTAATCACACCTCATGCTTGTCCATGATTTGTCTCTGGCCATGCTGGACTGGCCAGCCAAGCCAAAGTGGTCAGCCACCTATGACCCACATGGCCTGTCTGCAGCCAACAGGTAATTCCCACAGGTGGATTTGAAAGGCATTTGTGGAGGGGAAAGGAAGGGTGGCAGGTCTAAATGAGTTCACTGACCTATGAGGTCACATCGACCAGTTAGCTGTCTGCAGAGCCAGGCTAGGGGTCTTGGAAAAGAAAGTATAGCTGAGAGCAAAAGACAACTGTACTGGACCTGAGTGGACTGTTCAGTTCAGTCACTCAGTCATGTCTGACTCTTTGCAACCCCATGGACTACAGCATGCCAGGCTTCCCCATCCTTCACCAACTCCCAGAGCTTGCCTCAAACTCCTGTCCATCGAGTCAGTGATGCCATCCACCCATCGCATCCTCTGTTGTTCCCTTCCCCTCCTGCCTTCAATCTTGCCCAGCATCAGGGTCTTTTCCAATGAGTCAGTTCTTCACATCAGGTGGCCAAGGTATTGGAGTTTCAGCTTCAGCATTGGTCCTTCCAATGAATATTCAGGACTAACTTCCTTTAGGATTAACTGGTTGGATCTCCTTGCAGTCCAAGGGACTCTCAAGAACCTTCTCCAACACCACAGTTCAAATGCATCAATTCTTTGGCGCTCAGCTTTCTTTATAGTCTAACTCTCACATCTATACATGACTACTGGAAAAACCATAACCTTGACTCGATGGACCTTTGTCGGCAAAGTAATGTCTCTGCTTTTTAATATGCTGTCTAGGTTGGTCAAAACTTTTCTTCCAAGGAGTAAGCGTCTTTTAATTTCATGGCTGCAGTAACCATCTGTAGTGATTTTGGAGCCCAAGAAAATAAAATCTCTCACTGATTCCATCTTTTCCCCATCTATATGCCATGAAGTGATGGGGACTGGATGCTGTGATCTTAGTTTTCTGAATGTTGAGTTCTAAGCCAACTTTTTTTACTCTCCTCTTTCACTTTCATCAAGAGTCTCTTTAGTTCTTCTTTGCTTTCTACCATAAGGGTGGTGTCATCTGCAATCGGAGGTTATTGATATTTCTCCCCACAGTCTTAATTCCAGCTTGTGCTTCATCCAGCCCAGCATTTCTCATGATGTACTCTGCATATAAGTTAAATAAGTTTAAATAAGCAGGGTGACAGTATACAACCTTGACATACTCCTTTTCCTATTTGGAGCCTGTCTGTTGTTTCATGTCCAGTTCTAACTGTTGCTTCTTGACCTACATAGATTTCTCAGGAGGCAGGTCAGGTGGTCCCATCTCTTTCAGAATTTCCCACAGTTTTTTGTGATCCACACAGTCAAAGGCTTTGTCGTAGTCAAGAAAGCAGAAGTAGATGCTTTTGCAATGACCCAGTGGATATCGGCAATTTGATCTCTATTTCCTCTGCCTTTTCTAAATCCAGCTTGAGCATCTGGAAGTTCACGGTTCACTTACTGTTGAATCCTGGCTTGGAGAATTTTGAGCATTACTTGCTGGCATGTGAGATGAGTGCAATTGTGCAGTAGTTTGAACATTTTTTGACTTTGCCTTTTTTGGGGATTGGAACGGAAGGAATTGGGGGTGGACTGAAGGAATCCTAAATGAGACCTGCCATCTCCTGGGCACCTTCACCTATTCCCAGGCCCATTCACACTGGCAAGCAGGTTTGGTTTAAATGGACACGCAAAGCAAAATACCTGCCTGTCTTCAGAAGCTCACAGCCTCCTGGGGATGAGTCAAAAAACATACAGAGTTTTCAAAGGAAGAGTGGAGAGAGTAACTAATTTTGCTCAGGGCAGACTTTTCAGACAGTCTTTTTTCTCTCCTAGCCTGTGCATTCTCCATTATAGAATATAGCTTAGCCAAAGTGTAAGGGTAGGGAGGGAGGTGGGAGGGGGGTTCAGGATGGGAAACACATGTACATCCATGGATGATTTGTGTCAAAGTATGGCAAAAACCACTAAAATATTGTAAAATAATTAGCCTCCAGTTAAAATAAATAAATTAATTTTTAAAAAGTATAAGGGTAAAATAGGACGTATTTGTGAAAGTGTGCTGCAACTGCTGAAATACATACAAATGGAAAATATTGTTATTTTTATTGAAGTATAGTTGATTTACAGTATTAGTTTCAAGTGTACAACACAATGACAGTATGATTATGGGTTATTGATTATAGTCCCTTTAAAATTATTACAAAATAATAGCAGTATTTCTCTGTTCTGTACAATATATCCCTGTTGTTGATCTGTTTTATACATATACATAGTAATTTGTACCTGTTAATCCTCTACTCCTTTCTTGCTCCTGCCCCCTTCCCTCCCCCACTGATAACCACTAGTCTCTTCTCTGTATCTGTGAATCTGTTTCTGTTTTGTCGTATTTGTGTTATTTTTTAGATTCCACATACAAAGTGATATCATACAGTATTTGTCTTTCTCTGTATGACTTATTTTACTAAACATACTACCCTCTAGGTCCATTCACATTGTTGCAAATAGCAGAGTTTCATTCTTTTGTATGACTGAGTAGTATTCCATTGTATGTGTTTGTGTGTGTGTGTGTGTGAACACATACATACCACATCTTTATACACTCATCTGTTGATGGACATTTATATTCCTTCCATATCTTGGCAATTGTAAATACTGTTGCTGTGAATATTAGGGTATGTGTATCTTTCCAAATTACTGTGTTTTTGTGTTTTTTTTTTCAGATGTATACCCAGGAGTAGGATTGCTGGGTCATATGGTGGTTTTATTTTTAGTTTTCTGAGAAACCTCCGTACTGTTTTCCTCAGTGGCTGCACTAATTCACACTCTCACAAACAATGTACAAAGGTTTCTTTTGCTTTACTTCCTCACCAACGTTTGTTATTTGTGTTCTTTTTTGATGACAGGTTGCTTCCACGTCGT